TTCTATAGTGTTCACTGAACTTTTTTTCATCATGTCTAGGATTTTGTTTAATATAATATGATCTTGTAGAGATCACATTAAATTGTAATATGAGTTTTACTAACTTCGATTGCTAGAAAAAAATCCAATTTTTCGAAATCACATTTTAGTTATGAACACTTCTCATTAGGAAAGATCATTAGAAAAAATGTTGATTTCGAACTTAACCAATAGCTTAATATTTTTTTTTAATCTATTTACAATGCTTTATCGTAGCGCTGCAAAGCTTGAAAAAACAACGGAAAATAAGATAAACTTTCGTAGTAAATGAAGGTTTTCTTCTAAAGGAACGAGGATCGTTACGAGATGAAATCGGTCTCCTCTCACAATTAAGTTTCACATCTTTTTGAATCGCCAATTTTCATGTCAAGAGTGAATTGTCGTTTGATTTAATTACTTTGTCTTCAATCCGACTGTGCACGACTGACTTAATACTTTATATTGTTTATTCCCTATAAAGTCGTGGTACGCAGTGTTCATTTGAAAAGTATTTCTTCCGTTTCCAACACATTTTATTTGATTTATATACCAAATGAAAGCTCATTCTTTCCACTATTGAATAGCATACAGGAATATGACACACTATTCTACTTTTCTGTTTTTTTCCATTAGATGGCATTAGTCACTCGTATATACACTATAATGATGTCTAAGACAAAATCTCCCTTCTCTACTGCTATGAAAATAGCGATCAACGTTGTCGTGCATACTATTTAAGAGCTATTTTCATGCTCTACAAAATGCTACTATTACACTGCACTTAATTTGTGGCTAAGGATCTTCATTCAAACACACAATGTTCGAAGGCATCAACATTTCACTCTTTTTGACTGATACTTGACCTATTTTGACTTGAATAGCTAGGCGTTCTATCAAAACAAATGATAAGTTTGAAATCAACATAAAAAACTGAATCTATCTATATATGTCACAACATTATCAATCAACGTGTATTTTTTTTCCAACAAAATAAGCCTTGATTGTCTTCAAAGATTTGTCAAAAAATAAATTCAGTCAAAACTTCAGTTCAACTATGTATATATAGTTGTAAATTTTTAAAAACCTAGAAAAATCCTAAATGACATGTGGAGAAATAATAGAAACGAGGTTTTGATTGAATTTATTTTTTGACATGTCCCTGAGGGAAATTAAGACTGATTTATGGAAGGAAAATGAAAGTTGACGGATCACTTTGTGACATACATAGATCGACTCAGTCTTTTATGCTGATTTCAAATACATCATTTGTTTTGACAGAACGCCTAGCTATTCAAGTCAAAATAGGTCGAGTCTCAATGAAAAAGAGTGAAATGTTGATGCTTTGGAACATTGTGTGTTTGAATGAAGATCCTTAGCCACAAATTAAGTGCAGTGTAATAGTAGCATTTTGTAGAGCATGAAAAGAGCTATCGAATAGTATGCACAACAAAGTTGATTGCTACTTTCATAGTATCAGATAAGAGAGATTTTGTCTTAGACATCAGTATACTGTATATACGAGTGAATAATGCCATAAAATGGAAAAACAGACAGCAGAATCGTGTGTCATATTCCTGTATGTTATTCAATAGTAGAAAGAATGAGCTTTCATTTAGTATAAAAATCAAACAAAACGTGTTGGAAACGGAAGAAAAACTTTTCAAATGAACACTGCATGCCACAACCCTGTAGGGGGGAATAGACAATATCAAGTAATAAGTCAGTCGTGCACAGTCAGATTGAGGACTAACTGATTAATTCGAACGACAATCCACTCTTGACATTCAAATTGATGATTTAGAAAATATGAAACTTAATTTCTCGAGGAAGCCGATTTCATCGTTTAACGATTCCTCTCCCTCTCTCTCTCTCTCTGTCTTTTAGAAAGCTGCAGAGAACGTTTTCAGCTGAACATGTCATTAAAACATTTTAGCCTTCAGTAAGTACTTTGAAAGAAATATTTCTACACTACTTTATAGTCAAGACTTTTCTCTTTCTAATGAGTCGCCATGATGATTTGTTGTCACGCTATACTGAAAGCAAAATTAATAAAAAAAAAAGTAACATTTTTGCACTATCCTTCAATTAATTGAAGAAAGTAGACATAAATAATTATAGAATATCTTAGAAGTTTGACAACTTATAAGAATATGTTCGTATGTTTTCTTTGTTTGCTGTAAATTATTTGTTTCGTTCAGACTTATTCTAATGTTCTTTTTCTAACTATTGGAACAATATAAAGACAAAAAAAAAATGTCAATTACATATGTCTATTATTATAAATATTGTTATTGTTATACGGCATGTTGTTCATGATGAGCCTCATCAGTTGGTACTCCTGAATATAAAAATATTTGAACAATAGAACAAGAATATAAATGAGCTTACGATGGCGTCTATTAGGAACTATAACACATAGTAATATCATCAAAATTGTCACAATAGCAACAATACTGATTGAACCCAAACCGATGGTTAATAATGGCCAAGCTTGGGAGAAACCTGAATTAAAAAGAAATTATGTTTCATAGATAAAATTGAGCAGTAAATATGAATAATTTTCTACAATAAGACAAAATTAAAATAGTAAAACATCGGAAATATGAATTCTCTTATAAACAAAACCTTGTGATATCAAATAATTCCTATTTATATAACTAAATGAAACCTTGACTTTCTAATGTATATTTCATTACATCTGATTCTCTAAGTCTAACATTTTTTTTTACTTATGTTCGGTTTTATAGATTCTGAAGTCAATGAAGTGAATCAAAATTTCATAGAAACATAAATAAAATCGTCGTATAACAAACTTGTTCTTCTAAAATATTTCTAGGCGTAAAACAATATCATTCACTGTTCATACAGTTTTTCTTTACATACCTAAACGTTCATCTGAAATTGCCATTTATGTCAGCTAACGTATTATCTTCTTTTTTTGTCAACAATAAATATGACTTGCTATATTCTAGAAAAAAGAGCGATAGAATAAAGAAGTGTATCGTATGGTCTTTTTCTTTTTTCTTTCTTCTATTGACTATTTCTGCTCGCTTCAGATGGTGCCAATTGCATGCGTGCCGTTTCCCTTTTTTTGACGGTTGATAGTACTGCGAAAAAATTCCTTCTTCTTAATCTATGTTCGTATTAATACCTCGCTGTAAGTAAGCAAGAAAAGAAAAAAAAAAGCAACTAATCAGACAACACACAACAAGACAAGAAGACCTTGGTTGCTTTTACTTTTCTTTTCTTTTCTTTTCTTTTTTCTAATTTCAATAGCATATTCCGTACGGATGATTGAAAAACCTTGATAAGTTATTTTCTTAACGTCACATAAACAAATAGATGACAAAGATGCCTTGGAAGAAGATGAACACTGACATAAGCAGATAAGATGAAGTATCAAAAACAATTCTGACAAGTAGCAGTAAAAAATATGATTGATTCATGATGATGACAACTAATAAATAATTTCCTATGGAATAAACCATGCACTTCAAGAAGCATATACATGATTATTTAACATGCAAATCTATATTTATTAATAATCTATCCCAAATTGAATAGAGAATATTCAATCAAAATAAAAATGAGTGCAACTTCTTCTTTCTTTCTCTCATTTTTATTGTAAACAGCAAATTAATATTTATGAAAACTTAACATTTGATAACCGAAAGCAAGAAGATAAATTCAACATAGACTTTATTAGGTCTCGATTTAACAAGACATTCGATATTGAATAATCATTTGAAAAAGAAATTCGAGATTATATTTTTTATTAAAAACTATTACGCATATTAAGTTTTTGGAGATGAACAACTTATTGATTCTATTGATAATGATTGAATTATTAGATGATCTTATTATTATTTTCAATGTCAGTTTTATTAAACGTTAAATAGATTGATACAATTTGTCATTTTTGTTTCAATGAGAAAGTTTGATGTTAGATCAATGACTATAAACAAATAAGCTGAATTTCTTCTTTGAATAAATGTTCTATTTGTAATTTTCTATTAAAAAAATAATCATCTTTCAATGTTAAATTCTACACAATAGTACGATTATTATCGTTACTATTCACAAAATAGTTCATAATTTTCAGCATAAAGATCAAAATCAAAAGATTTCAATCATTTTCTATCTCATACTCATTGAAATAATACAATGACACACACACGTAGAATATTGCTTTGATATGCATGACTTATCACTGCATGACATCTATTATGACTGATACTATAGATTTTATTTTAATTGGTTAATAAATAAGGGAAGTATAAATTATGGACTACGACCAAGCTGTCACCACGTCAGTTATTTCGCGTATATTAATCTGTTGTTTTTTAGTTTAACTCATAACTGAAGGTGAATCATTAACTTCGTAGATCAATCAATTTATTAAGAAAAAAAAATATTTTCATTAATACAGTAATCCTTTGTATTCCTGTTAAAGAAATAAGTTATTTTGATATAGATAAAAAAGACAAACAGTTCTATTTTTCTTTTTTATAGTATTCATTAATTTATTTAATTGTCTGCATATAGTCTATTTAAATATTCATATTGTCATGGGTATTTCATCGTATGATCAATACAAAATGATAGACTTTCGAATTAATTCTAATGTCTTATAATCATATGATCTACGATAAGTATGCATAGATAAAAAACAAGATACTTTTAATTATTTTTCTTCTGTAAGAGACTGGCAAGTTTTTCTTTTATTTCATATATTTAGTCTTGTAATATTTGCTTTATAAAGCTGTTAATAACTTCATATAGACGTACGAAATTTAATTTTTTGTTTTCGAGCTTATATCAATTTGATCCATCCATACTTCTATTCATTACAAAGATTATATAACTAATAATTGCATACTAAAAGTTTCTAGTCACAAATTAAATGCAATGAATTTAAGTATCGTAATATTTTTTTTTTGTAGATTTGTTTGTTGTTTTTGTCATAAAAATTTATAACAATCATGGCAGTGGCATCAATGTCCAATTCCATCGAACAACCACCATCACCATTGTATAATACTCGAAGTACTTGTATGTAACCTGAATAATATTTCTTGTTTTTATTTTTGTAAATAAAATCTTTATTTTTTTCGTAGCTGTTAAACGACTAATGCGTGAAGCTGTAGAAATGAAAGAGCCAACAGAACTTTATTATTGTCAACCAATAGAAGTTCGTATTTAATTAAAATATGAAAATAAAATAAAAATTTCTTGTATATTACAAAAATAGGATAATTTATTCGAATGGCATTTTACAATACGTGGTCCTATTGCAACAGAATTCGAACAAGGTATTTATCATGGAAGAATTTTATTTCCTGTTGAATATCCAATGAAACCACCATCGATTATATTACTTACGGTAAAGTTTGTTGTTTTTTCTTTGATAATTAACTTATTTTAAGTATATGTTTTATAATCTAGGAAAGTGGTCGTTTTAAAACAAACGAAAAAATTTGTTTATCAATATCCGGTCATCATGTTGAAACATGGACACCAACATGGGGTGTACGAACAGCTTTATTAGCTATTATTGGTTTTATGGAAACACCTGGTGAAGGTGCTTTAGGTTCACTGGATTATACACCAGAAGAACGAAAAATTCTTGCTAAAAAGTAAGAAACAAAAGAACTTTCTTGTAAAACCTTTTCATTGGTTTGTCCATAATGATTTGTACCGAAATTTCCTCGCATAATAAAGTATTCGTATTATCATCTGTAGAGACCAGCGGGTCCAAAATTTTAGAACCCGAGTGTATCCGTCAGAACTATAAAGATTAAGATAAAATATGAGAGAACAGCTTGAGATCGACTCTTTCACAAACAACATTAGATTTTATTTGAAATGTTGTTTTTTTCTAATTGAGCATCCCTAAATTCTCAATTGAATTTCACGGTAGCTAATTACTGTTATTTTATTTGACACAGTCCATTTTTGAATTAATCTATTGTATTATTATGTAAAAAAAATAATACTTCTGTGAATGGCTGACAATTTTTCGAAGTATTGACCTTGTTATTCTTTTCGTTGCAAATAAAATAAAAATTTAAAAAGAAGAAACTGTCCGACACTGCAGTCAGTCATGCTTTTTCAAATGATGAGCATTGCTTTGGTTACGTTACTATCATCAAATATAGACTATATGCATAAATCATCTTTCTCTTTAAGCAAGATTTCTTTATTAGAAACTTATGAGAATTATTTCATTATAATTCATTTTGGTACAATTATATATTGTTTTAAATAGATCGCAATCATATGTATGTTCAAAATGTGGTGTAGCTAATAGCCAAGTATTATTACCATTAACAGAAAAATCAGTTGATGCTCAAAAAGAAGCTAAAGAATTAATGAGTCAAATTAATTTCGTTAAAGTATGTAATTGAATTAATTTTTAAAAAAGGCAGAAAAGTTTCGGCTTTTTTTAGAAAGATGAAACAAAACCTGAAGCACCTTCAGCAACAACCTTAGATAAAACCATTATTGAATCACCACCATTATCAGATTCAACAGTAGATTCAAGATCGGATGTTTCTCCAACAACTACGCCTAATGCTACAATACGATCACCAACAAATATATTATTACCACGTCAAAATGAATCGAGTAATAATCTACTGAGCATGTTTATCTTTCTTTGTTGTTTGATACTATCATTTCTACTATTACGACGACTTTTTTTAACATTTGGTACAAGTCGATCATTTCCACCATCATCAACGGATCCATTTCATGAAGACTTTTGAACAAAAAAAAACAACAAATATTATTTTATATTAAGAACAAATTTATGTTGACATTAATCTATTTCTGCCTAAGCTAAAGGGATTATACTTATTGGAGTATTAATTATCAATAGGGGTTCTTTTTCTTTTTTTTTTCTTTTTCATTTTATACTTATTCTCATATGCACATTTAATCTTCTTCAACCACCAGTTGCTGATTTGTATCATAAATGTCAACTTTTCTTTTTTTTTTTTTTTTTATTAAAGCAGAAAAAAGAAATAAGTCAGTAAATATGAACAAAAGAAATAGTGTATATACATATATATATATATATATCATATGTGAAATTTTGGTATCTATGATTAATTTAATAAATAAAAACTTTCAAGGATAGGAAATATTTCAATATTTTTAATTAAAATAATTTTTATGCGAAATTCAAATTATCGACATGAATTTAAAGGAAATAAAATTTTTTTCTATACATAATGGTTCATTAATAACTAGACGATAAAAATACTCAGCATCTCCAGTCTGTTTTAAGACATTGATTTAATATTTTATCTCAGTGATAAAAGGCTCTTCAAATTTTTTTTTTCACAAGAAAACTATCAAAGGACACCATTTTTAACTAATATTATTAACTTTAATAAAGAAATATATTATTGGCCGAAAGTATTCTCTTGCTATCTCAGCTGTTCTTAAGGTGACACACTTCAAGCTTTTAGCATATGTATTATCTTAGAAATGATGTTCTACGAGTCAAGAAGAGAAGGACCTTATGAAATGGTCAACCTATCATTATGTTAAATATCTACAGTTTTTGAATGTCAGTGTGACACTCGATGAAATTCATAGCATAAATAGCCTCATGAAAGAATTACATGATAATATCTTTATCAAGTCATAAGCTTCTACCCTTCTTGAATTATAGAACTTACAGTCAGAAGGGTTTCTATAGATCATAACTTCTCTTGAATTCAAGCGAACGAGACTAGGCTAGTCTCACTAGTCCATATTTCCAAAGTAATAATTATATATCCTAAAAGTTTCCAATATCTAGTTCTAAGAACGGCTGAGATCCCAGGGTAAGATACTTTAAACCAATAATGTATTTCTTCATTGAATTCAAGAGTGTTTGATCTGCACAATATCTATTTGACATTTTCCTTATGAATAAAAACGTTGACATGTCCTCAATCACTGAGAAAAAAACCAGTCCGATTAATTAAAACAGCGTGGAAATATTAAATTTTTCATCAACTAGTTATTTATAGACCACCCATCTAAATAGATATTATGTTATAAAAATTTTTCAATGACAAAAAAATATTTATATGAACATTAAACAGAAGTTGTATTTTGTAAACTAGAAGACTATGTAATTATTTATTGTCTAGATTTATTATTCAAATCTTTTTAAACCTTATAATTGCAACGAGAGAAATATATTTTTTTAAAAGAATAACGGATAGTGCAAAAATATTCTTCATTAATTTTGTTTTCAGTATAATGTGACAACAAATTGCCGTGGAGATTTATTAGAAAAACTAAATGAGTCTACTACAAAGCTGTATCAAAATATTTAGTTCAAATTACTTATTGAAGACTGAAAAGTTTTATTTCTAATGTTCTTTACTTACGAAAAATGTTCATAACTATTAGTAAGTAATTTCGAACAATAGGATTTTTTTTCCAGCAACCAAAGTTAATGAAATTCCATATTAGAGTTCAGCGAGATCTCTACAAATAGCTACATTATAATAGAAAACTTTACTGGACACTGTAGAAAAAGAATCTTATGGTTTTATAACTCGAATACTTTGATATTACTCGAAAGTTTGCATCATGTTGATTACACTTATGCATAACGTACTTAAAAATTTCGAAAGTCAAGTGCAGCACAAATTGGTCGAATTCACTTCTCATTACTGTTCTTGTATAAAGTTGCAAGACACACGTTTCCAGTTAAACATGTCATTAAAATTTTGTCAGTCTTCGATAATTATTTTAAAAGAAATATTTTTATACAGCTTTGTAATAGAGACCTCGTTCTTTCTAACAAGTCTTCACGACAATTTGTTGTCACGCTATACTGAAATAAAAGTAATGAAAAATACTTTTACACTATCTCTTATTATGAACGCACACAAAAAATCTAATTATAGTTTGTAAAACTTCATTTGTTAGATTTCACTGTTAGAGTAGATCAAATATTTTGTCAGTAAATGTTCAATCTACTTATTAATTAAATAGATCGAACAATCTTATAGTATTCATATGTTTTCATCTATATTATTGCATCTATCAGAAAGATATTTATTTCAAAGTTATATTGATTGAAATAGAAGAAATCAACATAATAGATACACATCTTTAAACTTTTGAAATATTCTTTCTACAAAATCTTCATCATGAATACTGATTATGTATTCTAGATAATTTTTACAGTTCATATAAATAATTAATTCGAGAAAATATTCATTGTTTGTTCTAATTACTAATGATAAAAAACACTTTTATCTTGTATTCTAGCTAAAAAAAAAAAGGATATCTTTGAAAATAACATTGAACATAAAATGTTCAATTAATGAGTGAAAGGATTAAGTGTTATATTACTTAAGTTTATTTTACGCATTTTTACTGTTTCTATTCTTATGTGAAAATATTTGCTATAGGCATTTTCACTGAATGACCTTATAATAATTATCTATTTCATAACGTCAACATCCTATCATCTTTTGAATACTAATA